GCTGTTGGAGAACATGGAGGAGATCCAGAAGCAATATCTGGAATATGACTTTTGTAATGGACTTGAATATTTGAAGGAAATTCTTCTTTTGAAATTCTTTCCTCCTTACAAGAAAATCTTGGAGGTTCGAAGTAAGAATTATTTTTGAATGAATACCTTGAACTGGATCTTGTTTCTTTGAAAGAATTTGATACGTATAATTACTTGCGAGTGCGCAAAATGTAGTACGAACGTGGATAAGCAACGTAAAAAGCGGAAGCAATAAACCGAAGATTTTAAAACTCTTCAGGGAAGCGTCCCACTTCCCCTCAGAGCTCTTTCATTGATAGATCAAACATACATATAGCTTGGACTTACAAAGACTCGAACTCCCTTCAAGCCTAGCCAACACTACACAGATCCTATCAACTATTTCTCCGGCCACGTCCCGTGGACTTTAACAATCTACACTTACTCCCTAAGTGTATAAGCTGTAAAGAAGTTTTGGATGAAACACAAAGAACTAAATAAAAAAAACAGTTTCAGTCCTTGAGTGAGTGAGAACTCTCAGACTGAACTGTGTACAACTGAATAAAACACAAAGTGTATGAAGCTCGATTATTGCTCTAAAATTCTTGTCACTTCAGCATCCGCAATAGGAGCTCTTTCTAGGGTATATATATGTACTCCTTAAGGTTGGAGTATTCTAAAAGGTATGGGACTCCAATATGATTTTCTTCCTTGATTATATCAAGAGTTTTTGGTAAGTCAATCTTCTTCTCTCTCTCCTTGATCTCCTTAGCATACACGCCTCTCCCTTCCTTATCTCCTTCCCATCCGATTTCCTACAAAATAAAGTACCATAATAAGATCCACAATATCTTATATATGGAATACAAAATAATCTTAATTAAGGAAACGATTAAGCAAAGATCTTCCCTGTTTCTGTGGTTCCAGGTGCTTGTTCGACCCTTCAAACTAATGCCAAAATAAAATATCTTTCAATCTCCCCCTTTGGCATCTAGTTCGAAAACATCAAACTTGAATATCTCCTGAAAAATTAAAAACAACAAGCACAGAAGTACCAGCCACTAAACAATCATCAAGAGTTAGAGCAAATAATCATATGCAGATTGAGACTGTGTTCATACACAGTTCTCCCCCTCAGTTCCTGCACTTAACAACTGCAATTTAACGAACCTCAAAAATTCGAGCAAAAGGCAATTAAGAACAAATCATCTGTAACGCCCCGTTATTTCAATAGAAAAATACCGAATTATTTTTCCAAAAATCAGAGTTAGTTATTCTAAAAAACAAATTAAAGATTTATTTAACAGGCGCTACTCAAAATTTCACA